AGCTGTGGGGAGCGATGGGGGCTGGGGGGCAGCATGGGGCCGTGGGGGGAGTGCAGCTGGGACAGTGAGAGGGTGCTGAGTGGGGGACAGTATAGGCCAGGGGAAGGTGGGGACAGTGATCCAAACTGGGGGTGCCTTGGGGGGGCTGCATCCGCCCCAATTCTCCTTGGGCTTGTTGAGTTTCGGGAGGGCACCTGCACCCCATGTTTCACGTCCCTCCCCCGCAGCTCCCCTCCTCCCTGCCCATAAAGTCCTGCCCCCCGGCCGTGGCATTAACGAGGAAAATGTGGGGCTATTTATACTCTGGCTATTGCGTAACCGCCTCACGTGTCCGTGTTATTCGTCATACGTGTGTGTGGCTGGGGCTCGGTATCCGGGACACGCAGGGGTCTGGGGGATATGGGACATGCATGTGGCTCTGTGCTTTAGCCTGTCTGTTCTGCAGCCTGGGTGTGGGGCGACGGTCTGTAGGATGCATAGGACACGCGTGTGACGCCGTGTGTCTGATCCATGTTACACAGCGGTGGGGGTGGGTGTTTGTGTGAGATACAGCACAGGAGGGGTATATCTGCGTGTTATCTAGCACACACGTGTGACGCCGTGTGTCTGATCCATGTTACACAGCGGTGGTGGGGTGGGGTGGGTGTTTGTGTGAGATACAGCACAGGTGGGGCATATCTGCGTGTTATCTCGCACACGCGTGTGACGCCGTGTGTCTGATCGATGTAACACAGCGGTGGTGGTGGTGGGGGTGGGTGTTTGTGTGAGATACAGCACAGGAGGGGTATATCTGCGTGTTATCTAGCACACGCGTGTGACGCTGTGTGGCTGGGCCCGGGTGCATTCGTGTGGCTGGTGTATTGCTTGGGCACCACCAAATTCACCAGCTATTCCGGTCCATTTCCCGAGCGTAAAAAACGTCAATTTCCTGATTTCAGCCCAGCTCGGTAGGCAGCGCAGAAGTAAGGGTGGCAATACCGGGACCCCCCCTAAAATCACCTTGTGACCCCCCCACAGCAACTCCCTTTTGGGTCAGGACCCCCAATTCGAGAAACACTGGTCTCCCCATGAAATCTGTATAGTATAGAGTAAAAGCCCACAAAACACCAGATTTCACGGCGGGGAGACCAGATTTCATATGGGGGGAGACCAGTTTCCACGGCGAGGAGACCAGATTTCACGGGGGACGAAACTAGATTTCATGGTGGGGAGAGACCAGATCTCATTGGGAGGAGACCAGATTTCACGGTGGGGAGAGACCAGATCTCACGGGGGTGGGGGGAGACCAGATTTCACAGTGGAAGAGACCAGATTTCACGGGGTGGGGGGAGACCAGATTCTCACGGGGTGGGGGAGACCAGATTTCACGGGTGGGGGAGACCAGATCTCACGCTCTGTAATGCGTTTTTCATGGCCGTGGATTTGGTAGTGCCTCCTGTACCGCACACATGAGGAGGCGGTGTGTTATCTAGCACACACATGTGACGCCATGTATGGGATGGTGGCTTTTGTTTCGTGGGATGTGTGGGACGTTGGGCAGCTGTGTTATATGGAACACATGTCCGGGGCTGTATAGCTGGTCCGTATTACAGAGCAGGCAGGAGAGGCATAGTGGGCCTATGTTATATACAACACGTGTGGTCATCGGATATATGTTTTGTCGCACATGGGGCGGGTAGTGTGTTTATAAGACACATGCCCTAGACACTAGTGTGTTGATAAGACACATGTCCCTTATAGTGGGGGAGTGTGTCTGTTATTCTGAACACGTGTGGGGCCCCTTGTGTCTTGTCTATGTTATGCCGTGCTTGTGGGGGAACCGTGTGTCTGAATACTGCACACATGGGAGGATTAAAATGTCCTATGCGCTACAGACCGTATATGTGACACTTTCTGTTATACTGGACACAGGGGGAACGTGCCTGTTATACTGAACACGCATGTGGCACTTTGTAGCTGGCCTGTGTCATGTAGCACATGTGAGGATAAGCGTGCCTATTATAACACCTATGTGTGACATCGTGTCAGATCTATGTTCTCTAGCACACATGAGGGTAGTGTGCCTATTAAAGGTCACACATGTGGTGTGATGTCAGGCCTATGTTATATAGCAAATGTGAGGGTAGTGTACCTATTATAACACATACCTGGGGGTCGTGTCAGGTCTGTGTTAGGTAGCACATGTGTCTGGTGTCATATCAGGTCTGGGTTACGTAGCACATGCGTGTGGTGTCATGTCAGATCTGTGTTATGTAGCACATGTGTGTGGTGTCATGTCAGGTCTGTGTTACATAGCACATGCGTTTGGTGTTGTCAGGTCTGTGTTACCTAGCACATGTGTGTGGTGTCGTCAGGTCAGTGTTACCTAGCACACGCGTGTGGTGTCGTGTCAGGTCTGTGTTACATAGCACATGCGTGTGATAAAACAACTCTGTTCTGGAAAAGCTGGGGGGGGGGTCGCCTCAGTCGGTGTGAGGTGTGATTTCCCCCCCACACACACTTTTTCCCTGCCCCATCAGTGACACTGAGTCAGTAGCCAGAGGGGGGCTGTGGGGTTTGGGGGGGTTCGTACAGCGGGGGGCGGGGGGGGGCTGATGATGGAAGCGGCTCTGGTCCGGGCACAGACCTGGCCTCGAGCCAAGGACAGGTGTGTTACCCATGTGGGTACGGGGGGGGGCAGCGCTGCCCCCTGCTGGAGAGAATGAGGGTCTGTGTGTGTGTGTGTGTGTCAGGGTGTGTGTGATTGTGTGTGCTTGTGGTCTGTGGGTGTGTGTGCTTGTGGTCTGTGTGTCTCTGTGTGTGTGTGGAGAGCGCTGCCCCCTGCTGAAGGGAATCAGGTGAGTGAGTGTGTCTGTGCGAGGCACAGAGAGGGAGGCCTTGTGTTCAGTAGTGCGCACATGGCCGGGGGGTGCGGCCGGAAAGGTTTGAACTGCAATTTGCCTTCGCTCTGTTTGTATAAGTAGAATTTGCATACAGGCCTGGTGTGGGTGTAACTCGTTTGCATACAGGTGTGTGTGTGTGTGAGTGACGTGTGTGTGACTCATTGTGCATAGGTGTGTGAGTGCAGGATGCTCTGTGTGTTTGCACGGAGCAATGGGGTGTGTATGGGAGGGGACACTCTGGGTCCCCGGCCGTGCCCCAGGTGTGGGGGGGTTGATACCTGTAGCCCGGCCCCCGCGCATAGCCCAGGTGTATCCCCAGCCCCCCATCTCCCACCAGTCCCCCCAATGGGAACCGGCGCCCCCTAGAGGGGACAGGCCCCTGCCCCGTTCCCTGCCCCCCTGAGCCAGCCAGTCCCTGTCCTGGGGCCGGGTGGGAGCCGGCGCCCCCTAGAGGGGACAGGCCCCTGCCCCATTCCCCGCCTCCCTGAGTCAGCCCATCCCTGCCCTGG